TCTATAGCGTACTACGTAGAATTATATTAGACTAAGGCCTACTAATAAACTCTAGTTACTAGAAAACCTTTCTATACTACTTAAACTCTTAAAGAGTATTAACCTTAGCTTACGACCTATAATTAGATAGCTAAATAAAATAATAAAACTAAACTTTAAAGCAATATCTTTATTGCTATTACACCTTAGAATAAGATAACTAAGCACTATAGATATTAATTAGAGAATACGCATATAGTAATAGCATCTACTTAACTACTTAAGTTACTCTTTTCTAAGCTTACTATAAAACTTACTTAAAAAGTGTAAGTTAGCCTAAGGAGGGCTGATTTAGAAAAGAATACTTTATAGTATACTAAACTACTAGAAGAATACTAGAACTATAAAAGAAGTGTAGGAAAAATAGTAAAAAAGCGTAGTTATATCTAAAATAGTATGCTAACAAGAAATAGCTATTAGTACTAATTAAGGTATGTAACTAAGTACTAGTCTTAAATAAATATATTAGATTCTTATAGCTAAAAAAGAAACTAGACTAGAAATATATAGAGCTATAGATTATTATACCCTAGATTAGACTGTTAGTATTTAAAGTAGATCTACCTAGCCTAAAAAGTGTTTACATAGTATTCTACGCGTCGCTACTAGAACTATACTGTAAGAAAGGGTGAATTAAGTGTAAGAGGCTACGCCTACGTATGTACAGCTTAGCTTCTAAGCGAGTATATCTATACGACTACCTAGACTTCAAGAAGCTTGAAGTCTTGTTACTGCCTTTTTGGCTATGCATGGCGTAAGTAGTCGTACGCTCGGCCCGTTAGGCCCGCCCATTACATTAAGTACTTATAGAAATAGTTATAACAGTAGTTAGGCGAATATAGTGATAACGTATACTATATAGATAAAATACTAGACTATAGAAAGAATAAGCATAATTAATAAGAATACTTGATTAAATAGATAAGTTATAAGGAGGAAGATAATACTTAAGAGCTAGTAGCTAATATTATATAAAACACCTTATATAAATCTCAGTAAAAGGTAAAATAGCCTTTGAGGTATAAGAAAAGCTAAAAGTAGAGAATAAAAACTTAAAAGGAGCGTATATAAGCCTTAAGGACTACGCTTATATTTTACCTATTAAATATAAGCACTTATAGGAAGGCTAGGCGCATAATAGCGCTAAATAGGCCTACTAAGCCTAGTTTAGCCTAAATTAGGCTAAACTAGCTCTACTAAGTCTAATACACGCTACTACACGCTACTTATAATACTTAAAAAAACTTAATAAAAAAAAAGAAAAAATTAAAAAATCAAAGCTATAATTATTAACTATGGAAATTTAAGGTATTAATTAGAAGATAAGGGAAACTACTAAAGGATAGCCTACCTTAATCTAGCCTAACCTAGCCTAATCTAGCCTACTATAGGCTATATAGGCACTGCTAGAACTAAACTATAATTATTCTACTACTTACTACCCTACCTACGCTAAAGGTAGTTAGCTAGATAGAAGTTAACCTTAGCTAGCTACTACTTCTTACCCTTAATCTCTTTTATCTTTTAACCCTTAGCAGCACCCTGAAGACTAGCTTAAGATATAACTAAGGTAGTAACTTTTACTTTGAGGTCTTTAATCTTCTTTTAAAAACTAGCTAATATAGTATTAACTTAAGCATTTTATAAAGAGGTTAGTATAGCCTAAATTAGCCTAAATAAGTCTAAAGAGGGCTATACTTTACGATTAGGGGTGCTACTAGTAGTCTTAGCTTTCTTTATAAGGGTATTAATATGCTTTTACTAAAGTAACTTAGTTATAGCGTACTTAGCATTAACTTCTATCTTACTATAGCCTATAGCTTCTTTATAAATACTAGAGCTAGAATTATTATTCTTAAAGATAGCACTAGATAAGAGGAATAGCTTAGAGGTATAGGGATAATACTCAAGCTAAGTTAGCCTACTCTAGCCTAAATAGGCTTAATCCAAGGTACTTATAACTTAAGTGCTTTAATAATAAGCTTACTAAGCTTAGAGAGGCGATAAATAGTCATATTATAGGTAGGGTAGTTATTAAAACAATCTCTAAGAGTACTATCAATAGTCTATAGCTACTAGTTAATAAAGGGCTAGTTAATATTAAGGTTAGCTAGGCACTACCTACGTTAGTCCAGTCTACTTTTGAGAGGCCTAATTTAGGCTACTTTAGACTAACTTACTATAAAGTAGTTATAACTAAGTAGAATACACTATAAGCACTTAAAAACCTATATAAAGGCACTACTATTATTTAGGTAGACTAGATAAGCTGTCTATACCTTCTAGATAGCTAGGTTAAAAATATTAAAGATAATATAGCTAATTAGGCTAAAAACTATTAGCTTATTATAGGCAAAGGTAGCTATATAGCAAGTATAAAAGTAAAATAAGCACTTAGGGTAAAAGGCGAAGAGGTTAGAGATAGTAATCTTATCTAGCTTACTAATATCTAACGCTATAGTATACGTGCTAAGCTAAAGAGGGCTAAACTAAGGTAATAAAAGTTAAAATAGCGTAGGTAGAGATAACTTAGTAGTACTTAAGTTAGTTAAGGCTAGAAAGGTAAATAACACTTTAAAGAGTTCTAGAATAGGCTAAAGAGGCCTAATTTAGGCCTACTTAGAGTAGCCTTATATATATAAACCTTAGGGAGTACTAAGAAGAGAAGAAGAACTAGAACTTACTAAAGAAAAAAGAGGTGCGTAATAGAGGAGAAGGCTAAAGAGATAAATTAAAGTAAACTAATCTAGCTTAAAAGATTACACTAAGACGCTAGCACTAGCGTAATACATAACTTTTTTTCTTTACTACTAAACGCCTAAGCGCTAAGTAGCTACGCTAGCACGCTACTAGCGCGTATATAGGACTCTTACTTTTACTAGTAAAGGTAGCGTATCTTATAACTCTTACTACTCCTCTATACTTATAGCAACTACTTAAGAGGAACCCTACTAGTATAGTATATAACTACTACTATATAATATAGTATAGTATTACGTAATTTACTCTAAATTACTCAAATCTAGAGTTGATTGCCCCCCTCTACCTATACAAAGACTACTTAGGTGTAGCTAAAATAGTAATACCCTAAAAAGGGAGATATTATTAGGCACTACGGGGGGATGGCGCAGTGGTGGAGCGCCGGGAAAATTTTCTGCTGTCTCACGTCAGCAAAGATCGAAGGTTCGAATCCTTCTCCCCTCACAACCATATTTATGGTCCACCCACATGAGAGAGTTACTCATTAAACTACCTATTCGACTGAGAGAGTTACTCTTTAAAACTTGAGAGGAAGACTTATTTAAAGTGGAAGGTCTAAGAGAGTTACTCACTAAAAAACTACTAGGCTACGAGCCTCACCTTCATTTAGATAACCCCCTACATTGTACCTACTTAATTTGTACCTAGATTAAATTCTAGCCTACGTAGTTACTTGCAGGCCTTAAGCCTGCACGTCTTATATAGCCCTTTGGGCTGAGAAAGGACGTTAAACTACAATAATAATAACAATAATAATAATAATAATAATTAGGCACTACGTTCTTAGCTATAGGAGGAGGCTTAGTTAAGAGCCCCTTAGCTAGCTCATAGTATATAAGCCTTAAGCCTATATAAGAGAGAGGCTAAGAATTTGCCTTAGAATATAATACTACCTGCTGCTACTATTAAGCCCTCACTTTCCTGTTCCGTGTCTAAGTTATCAGTAGTCTTAACAAATAGCGACTCAGCTAATATAGTAGATTACTATACTACTTCTACTATAGCCTTTAGCACTTAATTACTACTACTAGGCTTAGCTATAATACTAAGTTTTAGCTAAGATAGCTACTTTATAGCTATCTTAGCAGCTTTATATAGCTTTGCTAGGCTACTAGCTAGGTTACTAGCTTCTACTACTACTACTACTACTATACTACCCAGCTACTTACTCTACTTACCTAGCTGCCTACTTAATTTTCTTACTACTACTTACGTATAGCTTTGCCTATAGAAGCTTTATAATAGAGCTTTAAAATAAGCCTCTAACTGCCTATTTTAGCTACCTTAACTACTTAGCTATTACGTAATATCTTTATTTCTTATACTACTTACCTCTCTACTTAATTTCACTACTAAACCTAAGTAGTAAAAAGCGTAATAATAATGAAAAGCTCTATTATAGTTAGCTAACGTAATTATTATATTACGCTAGTTCTAGCTTTTTTAATAAGTAGCTAAGATCCTATTTTAGGCTGGTTTTTAGGGTATATAGAATACTAAAACTTAGGTAATATAGCTAGTTTTTAAGTATCACTTTTCTGCTTCTATAATTTCTATTTTAACTACGTAATACTACTTACTTATTACTTATATACTAGCTATTTTTAAGTACTTAAGATTACTACTATATAGCTATATAAGCGTAAGTAATATATAATACTACTAATAATGCAGCCAAGCGCGCTATGTAGGGAGCCCCAGCTTCAAGGTGGGTGAGATAGCTATTGGTGGTGGGTTGTTTAACCATTGCCGTAATTTTGTGGTTAAGATTTGCGTAATTGAAATAGCTTTCAAAATGAAATGTATTTATAAACAGTAGGCTGCCTAGCAAAGTCTACTTTGCTTACAAATTCTAGATTCTGCCCAAGCTCTTACTCTTTATAGATCATAATCACAATACATTACTACGCATGTATCTTATAAAGAGTATAGAGTATTCTATATTTGATACATTACTGCGCTGTGGAAGCCGCCGCGTCAGCACGTCAAAATCACTCACAAAACATACAGGGGCGAAATAGACGAAGGAAATAATATGAAGAAAGCCCGCACCCCACACGCCGCTTACAAGGTGCAGTCTTCTTTCTTTCCCTCACAGTAGGATTCTAGCCATGTTATCCAGAACCAGGACATGGATTGCCGCTTCCTGCATAGGCTTCTGCCTATTCTACGCAATGTTACTGCTCTTCAATGGCGGAGCCATGCCTACAGTCGACTCGGCGAAATGGCCCAAGTTTGGGAGCAGCGAGACAACGCATGAGACAAAGCATGGAACAATACACACTGGTCTTGCCACTGACATTGCCAATGATCTTGACGATAACGAGACCAATGCAGAATCCGCACCAGAAGGATCCTTTTTTACCGATTCTGCCAAACCATCTTCGCCCGTAGAATCGACACACGCTACCGCTGCGTCAACCTCTCCGCAGCATACGCCCACTCTCGCGTTTGCAACTTTCCTGACCGGCCAAGCTACCGACGACACATACTTCAATCTGACCCGTACACTCGCCTACCAATTCCTGCAGGCACCCGATACCCGCATCCTGAACCCCGATATTACCTTCATCGTCCTCTGCGGCCGAAAGCTGCCCGAATCGAAGCGCGAGATCCTACGCAAAGACGGCGCAACCGTCATCGGAGTCGAAGATGTCCCCGTACCGTCGTGGATCCAAACAGTGGTACCCCGCTGGTCTGAGCAATTCACCAAGCTACGTGTCTTCCAACAAACGCAATACAAGCGTATTCTATACATGGACGCCGATTACCTGCTTATGAAGCGGATGGACGACATCTTCAACGAGTCTATTGTCCGACAACTCACACCCACACTGTTTGATCGCAAAGACCAGATCCCGGAAGACGAAGAGCCCTTGCCGGCTGAGTGGCTTTTCTCCGCGCGCTCCGAGAATGGTATGACGGGCTCGTTCGACCATTTTGTGCCACCTTTACCCACAGTCACTGCCAACGCTGGCTTCTTCCTGATTGCGCCGCAACAGTCACTGTTCGACTACTTCATGCGCGTCATGCAGCTCGAGGGGCGCTTCAGGACAACCTTTATGGAACAAGACATGCTCAACTACGTCTTTAGAAGAGAGGGACCGATGCCCTGGCGCGAGCTGGACTGGAAGTGGAGTGCAAATTTTGCGAACCAGAGAGACGTGGACAACGGAGTGCATGCGCTGCATGGCAAGTTCTGGGCAGAAGGCCCGCAAGCCGTACGTGACAGATGGAGAAACATCATGGACCAGATGGAGTGGTAGGCGGAGGCGAGAGCGTGCGGAAAGGAATTTGACGCGTAATACCCCCTTGTGTTTAGGTTGGAGGCGTTACTAGAGATGGCGCATGAGGCGTACTGGGGTGGTGCATAAATGCTTAGAAATGGTAATCTGCATATTAGAGATAGGATAATTGAGTGACGGCTCACGCCCTGCTACATCTATTCCGTGATTTATTTGGTACGCCCTGTCTGTCAACAACGTGGCTCAGTAAATGATCACGTGACCTGGTGTTTGGGTAGCGATACGAACCTGTCCGCTGGAATCCGACGATCGGGCCAAGATTGGCCCACGGGTTCACAGCGTTCCACGCGTCCTTGGGGCAACATGTGTGCATCTTGGGCGCACGTTGCCTTCGTGTCTCGCTGCCGTTGATACACGCCGAATTCCGCATCCAGGTGCTGACGAGCAGGCGTGACTCAATAAGGGCTGCCTGATGGCGGCGTCGGCATTAGCGGAACGGGACTAAGCAGCGAGCACTGATTATATCATAACGGTGGTCCGAGCTCCAGTCTCAAATGTGCAACCCGCGCCGCGACCGCCTCGACCCACAACCCTCGTCGCCTTGGACGTCTTTGATCTGCCCCAGCTCTGTGACACCAGAGTCCGGCAATCAGCATTCATCATCAATCGATGCAGGGACAACAACAGACGCCATTCTTCCCCGGCTCACGGCTCACGCACGGCTATCTGACAGCCTCGACGCTTGACCGGCAGCCACTATGCGGTAATCCAGAGGGCTGGGGCCCAATCAGCCCCATACGATACGACTTCACGCCGTGTTTTCTGGATGTGTGGATAGCTGCCGTGGCCGTGTTTGGCATCGTGGGCGGAGCGGGCGCGTTGTGGTATCTCTACCGCAACTGCACGCCGCAGCCAGTGAAGCGCAACTGGCATTTCTTCGCAAAGTTGGTATGCTTCGCCTTGTACAACGAGCCGTGACGTGTTTTGGATGGCCGCTAACATGTCACGCCCTACAGACAACCATCGTAGCACTCATCGGCACGACGGCAGCCCAGGCTGCATTACAAATCGCATACTATAAACACGTCTGGGCTGGTGACTTCCGCTTCTGGACTACCATTCTCACCGCCGTCTCGCTCCTTGTCATCTTCCAGATCCAATACATTGAGCACTGGAGATCGAGAAATGCCAACGGCGTTGCGCTCTTCTACTGGCTCCTCCTGCTAGTTTCGTACGCTGTCAAGCTTCGCTCTCTCATTTCGCAGCAAATACACCGCGAACATGTGGCGTACTTTGCAGTCTTCTGCACGAGCGTGGGTTTGGCGGGGCTTTCCTTTATTCTGGAATGGCTGGTGCCAAAACGCATGAGCGATTATGACATGCTCGGCGACGACGACGAATGCCCGTACGAATATGCCGACGTGTTTTCTGTCTTGACGTTTGGCTGGATGACGCCCATGATGAAACGCGGATACAAGAGCTTCCTCACTCAAGATGACCTATGGAACCTGCGAAAGCGCGACTCGACTCGAGCGACCATGTCGACGTTTGAAAAGGCCTGGGAACATGAAATGGAGAAGAAGAACCCGTCGCTTTGGATCGCTCTGTTCCATTCCTTCGGTGCGCCATACCTTCGGGGAGCCCTCATCAAGACTGTCAGTGACGTCTTGAACTTTGTCCAGCCCCAGCTGCTCAGGCTACTTATTACCTTTGTGCATTCGTACAGCACCGACAAGCCACAGCCCGTCATCCGCGGTGCTGCGATTGCCATTGGCATGTTTGTTGTTTCAGTCTCCCAGACGGCCTGTCTCCATCAGTACTTCCAGCGCGCATTTGAGACTGGCATGCGCATCAAGTCTTCGCTCACCGCTGCCATCTACGCAAAGTCAACCCGCCTATCCAACGAAGGCCGAGCATCCAAGTCTACCGGAGACATTGTCAACTACATGGCCGTGGATACGCAGCGTCTACAAGACCTTGCGCAATACGGCCAGCAGCTATGGTCTGCTCCCTTTCAAATTGTCTTGTGTATGCTCTCGCTATATCAACTGCTTGGTGTGAGCTGTTTCGCAGGAGTAGCTGCCATGTTTGTCATGATTCCCATTAACGGTGTGATTGCACGATGGATGAAGACATTGCAGAAAGAGCAGATGAAGAACAAGGACTCGCGTACAAAGCTGATCTCGGAGATTCTCAATAACATGAAGTCGATCAAGCTGTACGCCTGGACTACCGCCTTTGCCAGCCGCCTGAACACTATCCGAAACGACCAAGAACTCAAGACCCTACGCAAGATTGGTGCCACCCAAGCCTTCTCCACATTCACATGGTCCACTACACCGTTCCTTGTATCTTGCTCCACATTCGGCGTCTTTGTACTTACGCAAAACCGTGCCCTGACAACCGACATTGTATTCCCAGCGCTTACACTCTTCAACCTCCTTACCTTCCCTCTTGCTATTCTCCCAATGGTCATCACCGCCATTGTCGAGGCTAGCGTTGCCGTGGGCCGTATTACCGGGCTATTGACTGCCGATGAGTTGCAGGAGGATGCCGTCATTCGTGAGGATGCCGTAACCGAGACCGGCGATGAGTCGGTCCGCATTCGTGATGCTAGCTTCACCTGGGACAAGAATGCTGAACGCCGGGCTCTGCACGACATCAACTTTGCTGCGCACAAGGGCGAGCTCGCGTGTGTTGTCGGTCGTGTCGGTGCGGGCAAGTCTTCGCTCCTCCAGGCGGTACTTGGCGATTTGTGGAAGATCCATGGCGAGGTCGTGCTAAGGGGAAAGACAGCCTATGTGCCTCAGCAGGCTTGGGTTATGAATGCGTCTGTCCGTGAGAATATTGTCTTTGGTCACCGTTGGGATCCGCAATTCTACGAGAAGACTATTAATGCCTGTGCTCTGCGCGACGACTTTGCATCCCTTCCTGACGGCGACCAGACCGAGGTTGGTGAGCGCGGTATCTCCCTATCGGGCGGACAAAAGGCACGTCTCACCTTGGCTCGTGCCGTGTATGCTCGTGCCGACATCTATCTGCTCGACGATTGTCTGTCGGCCGTTGATCAACATGTTGCAAGACATCTCATCGACAATGTACTTGGTCCCAAGGGCTTGCTCGCGGGCAAGACGAGGATTCTCGCCACCAACTCCATCCCAGTCTTGATGGAAGCTGACATGATCCTGTTGCTTCGCGAGGGCAGAATTCTCGAGAGGGGCAGCTATGGTCAACTGATGGCAATGAAGGGTGAAATCGCCCAACTGATCAAGACATCTCAAAACGAAGACCAAGGAGAGGACGACAGCACTCGCACGTCTGATAGCATCATAAGCGACGAGGACAGCACGGTTTACGGTGGTGGTAGCCCCAATGGCGCCGACGATGAAGAAGACCAAGCCGAAGCCGAAGCAGCACAGGAAGGTGGCGCTCATCTCGCACCTTTGAGAGTCGGCGGTGGAACTGGTCGCAAGTCGAGCTTCCAAACGCTTCGCCGTGCGAGCACGGCCAGCTTCAAGGGGCCCCGCGGCAAGGTCACTGATGAAGAGGGTGCGCCACTGAAGAGCAAGCAGACCAAAGAATTCCAGGAGCAGGGCAAGGTCAAATGGGCCGTCTATGGCGAGTACGCAAAGACGAGCAATCTCGTTGCCGTCACCATCTACTTGTTGCTCCTTGTTGGAGCCCAGACAGCTTCTATTGGTAAGTCGCAGGGCTTTGTGTGTTTCCAAAGGGCAATCTGCTCGGTGCTGAGCCATCGAATTATCGCTTTTTCGTTTCTCTAAAGTGAACGCTAACATCCTGTAGGTGCAAACGTGTGGCTCAAACATTGGTCGGATATCAATCAGCGGTTCGGGGGAAACCCTCATGTTGGCCGATACATTGGCATCTACTTTGCGTTCGGTGTGGGGTCTGCCGCTCTTGTGGTGGTACAAACGCTCATTCTATGGATTTTCTGCTCCATCGAGGTAGGTGTCTGCTTAACTCGGCCAGCTTGGCATGCATCGAGGGCTTTAGCACTGACAATCCATGTAGGCTAGTCGTAAGCTACATGAGCGGATGGCGTTTGCCATCTTCCGCTCACCAATGAGCTTCTTTGAAACAACGCCTGCAGGACGCATCCTGAATCGGTTCTCAAGGTAAGTCGTCATTCTTACTCCAGGTCATACTGCGGGCCGCTCCATGCTTGCCGGCGAACTGCTCATCAAAGAATCTCCGCGGAGCATTATCCCTTGCGTATACCAACACATACTAACTTTATGTGCCAGTGACATCTACCGAGTAGACGAGGTATTAGCGTAAGTCTCTCTTCAAACCACAATACACGCACAGCTAGTTGGCTAACATAGTCTCGTAGCCGAACGTTCAACATGCTCTTCGTCAATTCCGCCCGAGGTATGCAGCCACCCCGCCCCATCCCGTCCCGTGTAACACTTGACTGACTAGAGTAGCCGGCTTCACCCTTGTTGTTATCTCATGGTCGACGCCAGCATTTATCGCTCTGATCATACCGCTTGGCGCGCTATATCTGTACATTCAGCGATATTATCTGCGCACGTCGCGGGAGTTGAAGCGCCTTGACAGTGTCAGTCGAAGCCCAATCTATGCGCACTTCCAAGAGAGCTTGAGCGGCATGAGCACGATTCGCGCCTACAACCAGCAGAAACGCTTTGAGATGGAGAATGAGTGGCGCATCGATGCCAATCTACGTGCTTATTACCCTTCCATCAGCGCCAATCGATGGCTCGCTATTCGTCTCGAGTTCATTGGCTCCGTCATCATCCTGGCTGCTGCAGGTTTCTCCATCATTTCCGTCGCAAATCACAGCGGACTTTCGGATGGCTGGGTCGGTCTAGCCATGTCTTATGCGCTCCAGATTACACAGAGTCTCAACTGGATTGTCCGACAGACTGTTGAAGTGGAGACCAACATCGTTTCTGTGGAACGTGTGCTTGAGTATGCTGCATTGCCCAGCGAGGCGCCTGAGATCATCTCCAAGAATAGACCACCAATCAGCTGGCCATCGCAAGGTGCCGTCGCCTTCAACAACTACAGTACCCGATACAGGCCTGGTCTGGACTTGGTGCTCAAGAACATCAACATCTCCATTAAGCCAAAGGAAAAGATTGGAGTTGTGGGCCGAACGGGTGCTGGCAAGAGTTCACTCACTCTTGCGCTCTTCCGTATCATTGAACCCACGGAAGGCTTTGTAAGCATCGACAATCTCAACACAAGTACCATCGGACTTTTGGACCTTCGTCGACGCCTGGCCATCATCCCTCAAGATGCTGCGCTCTTTGAAGGCACTGTTCGCGACAACCTGGACCCTGCACATGTACACGACGACACTGAGCTGTGGAGTGTCTTGGGTATGCTCTTCTCTGCTCGTAGTATTGCATGATAACTAACAGTGCCTCAGATCACGCACGCCTCAAGGAACACATCTCATCTATGCCAGGCAAGCTCGACGCTGTCGTCAATGAAGGTGGTTCCAATTTCTCTGCCGGTCAACGCCAACTCGTGTCCCTCGCCCGCGCTCTGCTTACGCCCTCCAATATTCTCGTCTTGGATGAGGCCACCGCCGCTGTCGACGTTGAAACCGATGCCATGCTGCAAAGCACTCTCCGAACAAGCATGTTCAACAACCGCACAATCATCACCATCGCCCACCGCATTAACACGATCCTAGACAGTGATCGCATCATTGTGCTGGACAAGGGCGAAGTCAAGGAGTTTGATAGCCCAGCAGAACTCGTGAAGAAGAAGGGCCTGTTCTTTGAGCTTGTCAAGGAAGCCGGTCTGCTCAATGCGCTGGATATGTCGCAGTCATCGTTGTAGTCGTTATTTTGCTTTGTAGGGAAAGGAAAATAGCGTGTAGCAGATTTGTCTCAGCATACTACGCGGATTCAATGGGAAAAATCATGTAATGCCTCTGTCTATAGTAGGTATGCCGTGGGGGAGTTCATTGGGTCTGCTAATGAGCTTTTTCTGCTTTGTGGCATACGGAAAGGCAATACTGTAATTGCTGTCGACAGTCAAGAAGCATAAAAAAGCAGCCGAAATTTCCATATCAAAAGCCAATTTTGATACACAGGTGGAGGAGGACAACCAGTAGGAAAGGAAAGGAATAGTTGGGTAAGGGTGTAGGGTAGTGTAAAGCGCGCTTCTATGAGAACAGAACGAACTACACATAAGTAGCAAGATTGTAATTAAACATTGAACTTTTTATCCTCTGTCTTTCTCTGAAATGTATCCTTCTTCACTTGCGAGGATGCGTTTGTTCGTCGACCCTACAGAACGTTTTTCTTGCCTCTATAATCTTTTTTTCTTCTCTTTCTTTTCCCATTTCCCTTGTCGTATCTTGTTATTCTTCCTATGTCCTACATCGCGCTAGTCGTACTGTGATCATAATACTGCGCACTTGACTGTCTGTCTGTCTATCTATTTACGTACAGTAAGACGTACATACCACTTTCCTTCGCATCTGTCGTTGATATTCTTTCGCTGCTTAAATACACATTGTGATGAAACATTCGCTTTACATGATTTCACAAACACAAACATGCATCTCTGCTGTCTGCACTCTCGGTACAAAGGATATACGCGATGGTTTCGTCGTGCGTTGTTGGTATGTATATGTGTGTTTGAGGAGTGAGCGATGCGTCATGTGTGGATTTACACGTGCTTAGCGAGCAAGTAGGGTATGTACTGTGTATTTCTTTGTTTTTTTTATAGTGTAGGCATTTTGATTCCATTTCTTTCATGTATCGAGTACGATGTGTGTGTCATGTAGCTTAAAGATGGTGCTTTGAGTATTCGTGGTGTTGGGGATCAGTCTTGCTATTGTAGTGATATTTTGTGTGGGAAAATTTGTGCGTGTTTTCGAGCAAAGTGTTTGGGTTGAGCAGAGAGATTTTTGGTGGTTTGGCCGGATACAGCTTTCTCTGTGACTTGGACGTTGTTCTTCTTGGGGGGTGAGAAATACCATTGGGGTGTCACGATGGAACTTTTGTTGGTGTTTACTCAGCACGTGGTGGATATGCTGGACAACAATGTGAGTACTAGCAAATAATACTCATCTTTGATTGAAACTTTCATTCCGTGAGTGATCAGAGTCATCCAAAATGACATAGGCGCTTGTGGTCGAAGCGCGTCGGTTGACAACAACCGACTTGCAGTTGGATGACGCTTGTTGTCTGGCACATATTCCGTCCCTCTCAAACGTAGAAAAGGGAAAAATCTCCGAGCTCAACCATAAGCCAGTATCAAGTGCAAACAGTCAAGGTAAATACTGTTAGGCGGTCTACGATACCGAGCCAATAGCCCTCGTCTGTAGGAGCCCGCTGCCAAGTTCTAGGCTCATGCAAAGGTGGTGTAAGGCCGTTACAAGCTGCACGTTTCAGCACGTACTCATGCAGATCAGCATCGCGGGAGCGGGAATTGCCGTCGGTGAGGGCAAAGCGTATGAAATCTCGTTTGTTACACTGCCTACACGAGGTCTTGAGGTTGACTCGTGAGGGCGGTCTGTGCCCATCTCGCGTGGGGAAGTATTATCTGCCGTCGCTTTATGACGGTGGCGTACAACCACTAAGCCTTTGAAGGCAGGAGTGAATGGAACGACTGGCTGGCGGAAGTGGATGAAGAGCCGAGCGGGAGTGTCAACCGTCAAGCGCGGGATGCTGTGACCAAGCGATTCGTTTAGAAAACCCCTGCCGGCATTGCATTTCGAGCATGCATTACAGGATCTCCGCAATACCGTTGCACGCGCTCGGACCTAGGCTCCTGGATACCGCATATGTGTTGGGATCGATTCGTTCAAAAGTCATGTGGATTCAGCTGATGAATCAGTCGTCCAACGTTCAAGGTGGAACACAAGGGAAAGCGGCATCCCGCGGAAGTCTGCAGTAGCGGGTCCATCTGTACAAAGGCCGCAGGAGTTAACTAACGAAGTGCATGCGATCGCTAACGCAGTTTAAACGCTGATACGGATCTACCCAGCCTCGTGCAAGATTGATCACAAATTCTGCCAGCCGCCTGGTAGGCGGTCATATGTATGGAACGATTGAGATCAACCGATGTAGATTGATTATGCATCACCAGATCCCAATCGCAGGGTTTCCACGATGATAGCCGATGGCGTGAGTTGGTTGGTAAAAGCAGGAGAGTGATTTCCCCAGCAGTCATGCCACATAACTACCGGGACCTGACCATTCAAAGACCACACGGGTTTTACGGCTCCGAAATGCCAGTGCGAGGATGTCAGGGTGGCCAAGTCGGATGTCAAGTGTCATCGGAACGCTACCATCTGCATGATTTCAACCACCCCTGGCTATCAGTCGTAGCCGAGCCCTCAAAAGAAGCGGTTGAATTGGCTGACGTGGGGGGCACAATTGCAAGGTGATCTGTAAGAAGAATCTAATTTAGCGTGAGCATGGTCATGGAAATGGTCTTCTTATTCATTTCTCGAACCTGGGCCGATCGAATTGTTCATAACGACAGAGTGAGTCGGTCTGAAGCTTCAGTGACGGTGGTTGGGCAGCACTGAAGCAAGACCTGCATGATGAAATTGAATGCAGGCGACCCCATGTGCGCCACCGTCGGTTGTGACGCCACCTGTATACATAATTGCGGTGAAAGCGATTGACATCCCAGCATACCTGCAGCGTGTCGTATATTTTGGTGTGATCTGATCCAGAGACCCCCCGCACAAAATCCCAAGATGGCTATAGCGCGCGCCGGGGAATGTAGGCGATACGAAACAGCGTTCCCACCAGCGTTGACGAAGCAAGACCTGGTCGAGTCGAGCCTCATGCCATTCGATAACTGCTATAAATCGCCCCAAAACCTCCGCGGACTGGCATCTTGTAATACATACGTTAGGTGTTTGCTATCAGGGGTCGTGAAAACTCTTGCTGCCAAGTGGATGCGTGGTTGTAATAGATGTAGGAGGATGGAGTCGATGGCCCCTGGGCCTTGTCGGATGAACGGGACTGGCCTTAAATCCGCAGGGGCACAGTTAATAGAATCGGTTCTATTGCTGCTGCCTCCCTTGAGATCTTGTTCGTTACCTTCCATCCTTGACTCTGCGATTCTGTTCTGGTTCGCCACATAACAATCCTCTGAAAACCGATCAGCACTGCGGCCAGTGGGTCACACTCCTTCCCCTCCATTACATTATCCAGCCTCGCCACGTTGCCAATCGAAAATCGAAAATCGTGGTGCGAAACGACAAGCTCTTCACTGTTTGGTAGAACAGCAATAGCCAATTCTGGGGTTGACTGTTCCTGGAATTGGACTTGAGAGTTCTCCGCAGTTCTAACAAAGAGGCATCATTCTGTACCAAACAAGGGAATAATTGGACTCTATACCTTCAGGTAAGCATGATCCACACAGCTGCCTACCAGTAACCTGGATGTGCGCAATTCAGATGTCATGTCCAGCCAATTATGCCTGCGCCCTTCGGATCGCACCGTCTCTTATACTTGACCGCAGGTTGGTTATAGGCTTACAACGGGTGATATATGTTGGGATGAGACATAAGCTAATTGTCGTTTAGGTCGCTGGTAACTGCAGTTGCTGTGCTGTCCTCGACCGCCATCTGGAATACACGTCAACGTGTTGAGCAAGCCGCTAGCCAATTGCCCGGTAGTTTGTATAGCTTTACTAGCTGCATATCGATACTTATTACTAGTCCTTTATGGTGCGGTCCCGAGCTGTGGGCCCATCCGGTGGGCAACAGCCAAAGCGGTTCAGGAGTGACGCTGTAATGCAAGGAGACGAATACGGCGAGGATCCCTGGGCGTATGGCGGCGGCGGTGGGGTTGATCGAGGGTCATCGGTGAGTGAGGTTTGTTTTTTCTTGTTTGTTTGCAGGTATCGTGGATTTGGGTCGCTTCCGACTCGCTCCTACACAACATCAGCCTATGATTAGCAACAACGATGGGAATCCTTGCTGAACTCTCCAGGCAAAATCTTCGGGCCTTGGCGAAGTAACCGTCAAGCATGACGATTCGGCAGATGAAGTTGCCATGCCCACTCCCATCGCACAGACTTGCTGGAAAGTAATCTCTCCTAATGGCTGTGAGCAAGTGTGTTACGAGCCGATTCCTGGCTTTGAGCACCTATGGAGTAGCCGGGGCCCGATACAGAGAGCCACCGGCTTCGCCGTGCAGCCCAAAGCTATTGCTGTGCAGCCTTACCAGCCGGTTACGCCTCTTATGCCGGGTCAGAAGTCTAGAGGATCCCGGCAAACCGCGCGGAAGAGAACTCGGTCAACTGGACGAGGCTTTCGTTCGCGGCACATCACTCGTGCACTAAGCGAAGAGGAGGAAGATGAACAGCTCGAATGTGATGTCAAGATCTCAGTCGGGCAGTCATACACATTCTACATTGGTGACATTGATGAATTGAAGAAATTCTTTCGTCGTCGGCTTGATGAGCTCACTATGAAGCCAGTACGGCCTATCGTCACACAGTGGATCAGAAGGCTTGAACCCAGGCGTTTGAGTCTTTACGGCCCATACCATAAGAATCTACTCAAAAGTAAACGAGGCATACCCCCTTGGTGGCCACGTGGTGTTCAATATGTAGAGCCGGCACACCTGAGCAAAACAGGTATGACGTTACCCCGATCCTGACCATGTACCAATAACTAACACTTTACAGAACTCTTGATTCTGGCCGTCGATGTTATGCTTCAGCACCGTCTCATCGACATAGATAAGCGTAGAGGTTCCTGGGTAGCGGAGCTTCGGAAAGCAGCACAAATCGCTATTGATTCCATACCTCGGGGCCAATTCTCTTCGTCCAAAGGATCAGACTTCAGCGAGAAGATGCAAAGGCGAGCCTTGGAAGAGATTCTGCCCAACTTGTTCGAGGTTGCGCAATTATACGAGGACCACTTTGCACGCCATGGACACTATGAAGGCTCTGGTATACCAGATCCTGGCAAAGGAAAGCATGTAACATGGCAACCACTTATGAGGCCAATTCGTGAGCCGGTCGCTCCTAAAAAGCGCCTTCGAAGAACCAGACCAGCCCCGGCCTCCAAGTTAGAGCCCGACACTGACGCATTGGGAGATGAGACCGAAGTTGATGATAGTGTTACTTCATTGTATCTGCGCAGTAAGCAACTGGCATCGAATCGAATTGACATGTCGAAAAGCGCCAAGTCAACGGCCATCCGGGACCCGACAACGCCCTCTTCTCGTGGGGCTGCGGCTGCTGAGCTTCATAGCTGCTCTTGTAGTACCACAGTAACACCCAATGATTCGTTCGGACAGTCAATGCAGGGGCTTCTTCTGGAAGAAGAAGCAGACTTGGATATCGAGATGACCGCCCCTACGCCGCTGCACAACCACACGTATACCAACGACAGTCAGCTAGTTCAGTACTTTTATGGTCACCCTAGCTATAACGCCCACGCCATTCAGCTGCAACAGGATGGATGTGCCCTTACTGGCACGTCGCGACCCACGTTTTCCCCAGCTACTGCACCTGTGTATCAACCCTCACTTTCGGGATTCGACACGCACTTCGCACTTCCTGTCGATAATACAATGTTCCACGAGGGCACCAGTTTCCCGCAAAGCTATGACCTGTATGATCCATCATCGGCTAATACTCTTGAATTTCTCGATGGGATTCGCAGTCATTCCAGCGTTAGCTGCAAGACCGAGGCGACTCGACACTGACCTCGTACAACACAGTGTTTACCTTTTCGGAGTATGTTTCCAGTTTCCTTTGTTTCAACCTTCAGCGCCATGGATTTACGACGCCAACTCTTCCTTTACCAACTTCAACTTTCTATATATCTCTTACATTTCCTTGTTAGCTCAGCAAAGGGATTTTGCCCAAGGCTGGTTGCTTCGGCACAATTGCTGGAACGTGTTTCGATTTGTCAATTGCTTGGCTCCGAATTGCTCAGTCGATCATGTCTTGCAATATACCCTCTACGACGTAACGCCGCTCACGAATGCATTGCAACGACTTCGACACAGATTCATGATAGTTTGAAGGAGATGGTAATTTGAAATGGTCAATCTTGTTATTGGGGTGGAGATTTGTTTAATGCAAGGGGGATGAGCAGATGGAGTGCCAGGAGGGGCCATGAAGGAGACGGCCGATGTACAAACTGTCTCAAAGGGGTTGTGACGTCGCCCAGGTGATTGTATATTGGTAGAAGAGATGCGAGATGGTCACGTATTATTAGCAGAAAATATTTCGGGTACGTTACATTGAAAAACGCTGTTCCAAGGGTCTAGGCAGGTGATGTGTTCAAGTGAAGCGGACCTTGGTACTGGAAGTCCGTGGCTGCAGGAGGTGGTGTCGTGGTGATAGTTAGCCTGAGGGTTTGGGGCAGCCCAGCCACACGTGTGCCAAGGCGCTAGCACCGCGTCACAGGTCCGGGCTTCTGAACCCACTGAAGCTCCATGTTCGCGACTCGAATGGGTCTTTGTTGCATTCTCGCAGCCGACGCCAGTCGTTCTCAACTCGACTCGGCCAGCAACACACGACCCAAATCGCAAGTCAATCGCCCGCCTGTTTTCAGAATCCGGCCATCGCCACGACCGGACGGTGACGGTGACGTTGCTCCCTGATCGCGCACTGCCAATATACTTTGTCACACGGTCGCGACCATGACGACACCGCGTGGTGGGAGAGGCGGCGGAGGCGATCGAGGGCGTGGCGCACGAGGCCTTTATACCCCGAATACGAATCGTGGACGCGGAAAGAACAGCGCGCAGAGCGATGACGAGCGACCGTCGCAAGGCCTCTACACGCGTGGACAGGGACGACAGCAAGGCGGTGGTGGGAGAGGTGGTCCAAATGGCAATAGCGGTCTGAACGCGCGCGGCCATTTCAATAACTCGTAAGTGCCCGTATTTCTTCTGACTCGGGAACAGGTCGTGGGCGGACCAAGGGCGCCATCATCGGGATGCATTTTCAGACCATCACCACTGCTTGCGACATATCACAGTCGAGGACCTCCTATGGCCGCTCGCGGCCTATTCTAACCGGCTGCTTCCAGGAACACGCCCGCCTCGAGCAAGACAACCGCACCGACTTTCGCACCCCACGAATATCAGAAGCGCCTCCAACATGTAAGAGCAATCATAGACATGCAATCAAGCAGGGCTGATATGGGTAGATCAAAGCGGAGCGACCCAGGATCCGCGAGCAATTCATCAGAAATGGCCTGATGAACCCAGAGGGTCAAATGCGCCTGAGCGACTCGGTCAAGCTCTACGGCATATGTGAAGAAATGTGTCCGGAATACGAGCGTGTGCGTCGCATTGTTGAGCTTGATGTCAAGGCGCCAGAATGCGTGAGTATCAACTACACAGCCTCAAGTTCTCCCGCTAACATGCACAGACGCCCGAGACGCAACACCTCCCCAGCCGTAGTCAGCGCGTACCAGACGAGTCGCGAATGGTCAAGGCATATGCGCGCTCTGCAGCCGGCATGGACGTGGAATTGGTCTCGGAAATCCGCTCACCAGCCACTTGCCTGGTAAGTCGCAAGCTGCCTATACACGCCAGTAAATTAACAGCAGCAGAAAACGCTCAAGTATCTTTTTGCACGCCTAGACGAAGATGATTTCGAGTTCCTCCACTCGTGGCTTTGGGACCGAACACGAGCCGTCCGAAAAGACCTACGCACGCAACGCATCGAGAACAAGTCTGATATCGCCATTCTCCTCACGTCTCTGGAGTACAGCGCCCGCTTTTACATGTTGTCGGCTCACCACATGGCTCGGAGCACAAAGGACGACTACTCCCACCAACAGGATGTTGAGCAATTGAACCAGACTTTGATTTCGCTAAAGGAGCGATATGGCGACAACCGGCGAGCGGGCATTGTATCAGACAATGAAGCGGAGTTTTGGGCGTACCGCTTGATCCTGGCACCCATATATGCCAACACACAACTCGAGAATGAATTACATCGCCTGCCCAGCGACCTACGAAACAATCCGCGGGTCAAGACTGCCTTGGAGATATTCCGCGTACTCAAGACAATCATCATCCATCGAGGCTACGACAACTTTGTTCAGTGTCAGTCCAACTGGAAGGTATTCTGGGATCTGATCAAGTCACCGAGAGTCTCGTACCTGATGGCATGCGCAGCTGCCATATGCTTCAACAGAGTGCGCCACGTCGTGCTCGACTCCGTCTGGCGCGCCTATCGAGTCGGCCAGTACAGACATCAAGTCAGCGTCGAGGAGTGGACGACTGGCAAACTGAGAGAAGCACTGGGCATGGATACCGACTCGGAGGCGGTGGATTTTTGTGAAGCCCATGGTTTCGTATTCGAGGTAAACGAAGCAGGGCAGACCTTTTTGGATATCAAACAAAAGAGTTACGAACGGAAGGCTGTGGTTCTACCCAAAGCCGATGTCAAACCCCAGTTCTTCTCCGCGTCGATTGTTGAGGCTAAACGTCACGGCCGGCCACTTTCAGCTGTTGTTGCAGGCTTAACAATTCAGGAAGCCAAAAAGGGCAATTTCTCCTTCCATGACATGTCAGGACAGCATGCTGGTCAAATGGAAGATCAAACTTCATTGTTTGTTCCCGAGAAACCCAACATTTTCAGCCAACAATCAAACGGCCCAAAACCATCAGCTGGTGGGTTCGGCCTGAACCCGACAGCGTCTCCATTCAAATCCAACGACACTCCTACAGGGAGCCCCAATCCTTTTACAAAGGCTCTTCAGTCAGGATTGTTTGACCCTTCCAAAAATCCCATCAAATTCGCGCCGTCAGCTGATACAAATGGGAGCCCACAGCCTAATCCGTTTCTTCAACAGAGTCCTTCGCCCTTCCAGTCTACCCCGCCTACGCCATCAACAAATCCTTTTTTGAAAAACAATACCACTCAACTCCAGCCTGCAACCTCTGTGTCTTCAGGCAATCCATTTCTATCTGGGGGATTCACAGCTGCACAGCCAATGCCACAATCACAAGATTCGTCTTCAAACCCGGAGCTACCTGCGCCAGTTGAGATAGCAAAGCCAGCACCTGCATTCAACTTCAGTGGGACAGGCTTCAATCCTGCGCCTTCCCTGGAAACCCCACAATCCGGGCTGTCTTTCACCCCAGCAGGATCGCCACCCCAGGAAGATACCTCTGCACAAGAGGCTGAGGCACAAAAGGCTGAACAAGAGCGGCGTGAAGCAGCCGAGAGACAACGTCAAGAGGATGAAGCACGAAAACGCGTACAAGAAGCGCAGCAGGCAAAGCAAGCAAAAGAGGAGGAGCGAAGGAGAGAGGCGGCGGCAGTGGCAGAACGACAACGAAAAGAGCAAGAGGAACGAGAGCGCAGAGCACGCGAAGAACAAGAGCAGTTGGCTCGGCAAGCGAGAGAACGACAAGCACAAGAAGAGGAGGCTCGCGCAAGACGGAAACGGGAGACAGACTCCGCATGGCTCGCACTTACGTCCGACATCACATTTGACTCTCAGGAGGGGCTGCTGATGCAGTTCATTGAAAATGCGGTTATTAACATTTCGAACGAAGCAGCACAGTCGGTGGAGATGGAGAGGAGAGTGGCGTATGTGGATCGCAAGTACGAACAATATCTGGTGGAATTGAAACGGGCGGGCTTAGCCAAGATAATGGCAGCGGTACAAAAGAAGAAGCGAATGCAGAAGGCGCGGGAGCGGAGGAGACGCTTGAAGGAGCAGCGTGCTCGGAAGACGTCAACGGAAGAGGGGGGACCTGGAGATGCATCCGTCGCCTTGCAGAGCATCATGCCGAACGGCAATGCAGCGCCCACTCATCAACCAGATGGGTTTGCGGTATTGCAGCGACGGGCCTCGAACGCTCGACGTGCTAAGCGTACTGAAGAACGACGAAAAGTGCAGTCTTCCGAGGGGAAAACAACAACACCGAGCGCAAGCCCTAACAAAGTGCATACTAAGACAACAGGTAACACTTATCATGTTCCACTAAACACAAGCACAAACAAGAGCAACGCTTCTGGACTCGCCTACTCGCAGGCTTATCATCAGGCTGCAGCGACGGCACCTGTAGACCGAACTGAGACGGACTGGTTCAAGCTCCGAGCTATGGGCATCGATCCCAGTAAACACCGCAAACGAAGTTTTGACTTTACCTCTTCCGACGAAGACAAGCCAAAGCAGATTGAGCCTAAGCGCCCTAGATTGTCACCGGCCTCTTCTATGATAGATCATCAAACGCCGCCTACACCTGGGACTATGGAGGAAGAGCAGCGTGGTCGCGCTGAAGCCATCAGGCAATCTTTCAAGAGATCAAGATCTACCATATCGCCATCTCAGTCGATCAGCGGGGTCTTCTCTTTCGATGGCCAATCCTCATACAATGACTCGTCTAGCAGTTTGATCGAGAGGGCTCGAAGGATGATAGACAGAGCCAAGGCTGAAATGCCACCGCCTTCACACACCATTGGCGCAATGTCATATTACGGCGCTGGGTCTTTTGATGGGAATGCTAGCCAGCTTATTGCACGCGCCAAGGGACTCGTACCACGACATGACACGGCAAGGGTAGAACATGACTGGAGTCGCAGCGTGCCCAATCTTGGCTTCTCAGCTTCTCAAGGCCAGCAGTCCATGTATGGTCGCGGTAGCTTCAGCAGTACATTATCGACCAAGGATCGTCCAGCATACTGGGGGCGCACAAGCCGGTTCGTGCCTCGCCATCTCTATGGCCAGGGACCAGAAGCTGTTCGCGCATATCGGGCGCAGCAGGGTCTTAGCAGGTCACCTTCAAGCACACGACCTGCTAGCACAGAACCCCTGAACCTCTCATCTCCAATCCCTACACAACAATCATATGTCCAGTACGCACAAGCTCAGAAGTACACCCAAGAGCAATATAGCGAGACAGAGAAGGCTAGTAGCGTAGACGTCATAGACGCCGATGCAGAAGATTCGAATGCCGTCATGACCGATGACGAATTCATCCAAGACCAGCAGCGCAATGGCGCCACGGCCTCGTATCCCGTCACTCAGTTTCCTCCCGCCCAACTCCATCAAGACTACGACGAAGACGCAGATTCTGAGATGCTGGACGAGGACGATGATGAGGACGATGAACTACTTGACTACGACGAGTACGAAGAGGATGGCGAAGAGGATGAGGTGCTGGAAAGTTACGATGAAGAGGGAGAGGAAGATGAGTCTGCGGAAGACGAGGATGAAGGAGGCGAAAACACCATGAAGCCCGGAGCAACCGAAGACGACGCCATTGAGCTCTCCGACTAACCATTTCATCCATGAGACACCTGTACTATATACATATCAAGGGGAGAGAGTGCGGTTCCACAAGCATAGCGACGGCGTTTTTTTTCTAGTTTCGATTGTTACGCTGAGGGGTTTTTTTTTCGCTTTACGGACAGCAAGGCAAAATGCGTATGGGGGTGTGCGGAAACAAAATGATACCCAGTCAACTATGATGGATATGTTGTGCATTGAATCGATTGCTTGGAAGATTAATGAGTGTGTGACTGGTGCGTGATATGTTCCCAATATGCTGTATATGTCCTACAACACCACTCTTTCTATTGGTTGCAAAGAGACATTCAACCAGGACATGATGGAAGAAGCAAATCCCGTTTAATATACGTGTTTATTCATCCCCTTTCGTATTATATATATCCAAGTCTACCTCCTTCCCCTCCCTTGCTCAGCGCGTAAAGTCATTCATTAGGGTATAATACTTTTGTTATGTTTTTCTTCCTCTTCGTATCCAGCTCCATCTTCGCATGCCTGCTTGCCGTGCATTCCAGAAGCAAGAGAAAGAAGAAAAAAAATTAAAATCAAATAAACCACTCTAATTCCTCATTCCACCACCCACTCCACCCCCATAACTAGCCATATACGCCGCATTCACACTGCGATGGTGCTCGGCTGCATGTCTCTTGACGCCATCCCACATCTTCCTCAGGCTGACATTGAGCTTGTGCTGATGCTGTGTTTTGGCTTCGTTTTCGCGCTCGAGTTGTTGCTGGAGCGCAACGAAGTGGTGCGCGTCGTGGGCCGAGTCGTACGAGGCGCGGCGCGAGTGCGCGGCGGGGGTGGCGAGTGGAGATGTGGAGGCGGAGGTGGAGGTGGAGTCCGAAGTGAGGGAGAGGATGCGTGGGTGGGCGTCGGTGTTGTTCATTTTTTTGGTTGGGGGTTGGGGGTCTGGATGGATAAGAGTGGAAGTTGGGGTTTGATAGATGGGACACTGGTATCCGTTGGTGTTGTTGAGATGGTCTTGTTCAAGGGTTCCTTTTTTTGGGACTGAAGAGTATGTTTGTACTTGTAGGTCGTGGTTATGGTAGTAGGTAAGGCTTGATGTCAAATTCATCTCTCCGTCTAACCCGCACCACTCTGCTTATATACCCCAGACTCTCACACACCGATCAGAAAGAAGAAAAACAAGGAATACGAGGGGGAAAAATTCTCTCACCACGCGCCCCCCCTCCCCATCCATACCATAGACATTCCAGATCGCGAGGCTGTTACACGTGCATCAGAATTGAGTTTTTTTCCCCATTCCTATGCGGCCTTGGTACTGTGGGTCGTCCCATCCAGGTAATAACCATAGGGTAATAGTCGGTTATACGGCCAGTCGAACGGGCAAATCCAGTACGTGCGACCGAATTTGAGAGAAAAAATTGACAAGAATACACCGCAATTACGTCATGGACTGAGGCTCTGTGAAGTGCCCTGACTAGGCCGGACATGGCAGCCGTGATGCCGCAGCAGGCAAAGCGGCATGGCAGGATCGCTGTTAGCCGCCTAGCTCCCGGCAGCCAAATCGTGATGGACAGTGGGTGAATGAGATGCGCATTCGGCTTCCGTCGGCACAGCGCCATCAGACTTTTTATACCGCAACGGCCCACTGCGCAACGACCTCATTGCCGTGTCCCTTTGACACACGAGTTACCTCTAACGGCCATTTTCGTGTGTCATAGCCTGTCTGACTGTGGAATCCAGTCTTTCGCTCGTGCCGTGTTACGGTCGTTGTATTGGTGGCTTGCACACCAACCACCTTGGTGGGTACCTGCATTGCGGCTCAACGGAATCAACGCCCTGGCATCTGGTTACACCGGACGGGGTCGTAATCATCAGACGGACATGTGCGATGGTGATAGGAGGGCCTATGTTGAGGCTACGGAATACAAAGCCGAAGTCCATGCAGGTGTTCTCGGGGCCGCGGAAAGACCGCATGTTTCGGACAGACAAAAAGGAGGTGTACGACTTGATTCCTGGGGAAGAAGAGAAATGTCTAGATGCGTGTACTAAAAATGTAAGGCAATTAAACCCACCATGATTAACCCAAGATATGCTTGCTATAACGCCATCCCATGCTTGACAAGGTTGAACAATAAGCCAGTAAGAAAGGTGTCCATTAATGTCGCGCCGCGTGCGTCCTGCTCTCCTTATGGCGGAGTTGCGTGTCGTTGTCGTCGTCATCCGAGTCGAGGCCTTCCAATTCAAATTCTTCGGCGTCTCTTATTCTGCGATCCACTCGGGTGTAGCCGTTGGCATGTCCGTTGACATGAGGCGCTTCGTCATCGGCTTTGTCATCCTGTTCCCAAGCGTACACGGCATACAAGTGGATCAGTACGTTTACGACTGTACCATGTTAGTTGCAGAAAGTATGTGATGAGCATAAAAGACTCACAGAGAAACAGCACGAACGCAATGCTGAACAAAATCAGCACATATGACACGTGAGTTACGTTTGCATCTGACAGAAGCTGCATCTGCTCCTCCGTAGCACCCATGAACATGAATCCGCCAGCTATCAGCAGGAACGGTGTCATGTACTGGAAGCTGTTCGGGTCTGAGCCATCGGTGTGGATCGAGGTCCTATCCTTGAGCACAAACGAGATTTCGATGATGCGCGCAGCACCCGCAGCCATCAGGGTGTATCCAAAGACGGTATGAATCATGGCCGAAAGAGGCAGATGTTGGGGATGCGCAGACATGGCCCATCCAGTCATGAGGATGACGATACCTGGGATCAGGTTACGCTTGGGCTGGCCGTTGCGCTTCCTGCTGAGCCAGATGCCGACGAGACCGGCTGCCCACCACACAATGCCCATGGAGGTATGTTGCAGGTCGTTGTGGACCCAGGGTCCTCCCCATCGGTGCTCGGTGAAGGTGTTGACGCAACCCCACGCGGCGATGACGAGCGAATCGAAGAATTCCTGGCTCTTGCCTGTCCTGCGCAGCCACATCTGTCCAACTAAGAGCAGGATCAGGAGAATAATACCGTATGCGATGAAGGCGCTGCCCATGATGAAATGCGCCAGGCACTGTCCGGTGTGGTCCTCTCTGCAGAAGCCCAGCGCTGTAATGCCTCCAAAGAGGAACTGCACCCACGTCACCACTGGCAAGGCCTTGCCGACCACGCCATGCACCTTGACTATGATGTTGCGTATCTTCCCGTTGATGCCCTTTTCCAGGTGGAGTTTCAGGTAGATGCCCATGACAATCTGGCTAAGCAACATGAGCATGATGACGGGTACAAATGTCGAGTGGATGTTGTCTGGGGAAAACTGGCGGCCGCCGTGCTTGTGACCGAGGAAGTAGCCGATGATGGCGAGGACGGTGCCGACGCTCTGGACTGGGACGTGCCATTTCGACCGTATTATCTGGTAGGAGTGTCAGCCTAGGCCACGGGGTCTATCGATGCGGGCGCATCTTACGCCTAGGACCATGCCCGTGGGGAAGATGATGCCCCAAGCCAGTCCCTGAATCAACATGTGCGTCCATAGTACCGAGTCCTGTCAGCGGTAAGCGTGTGTCTATGGCGCTTGGCGGTCTGGTAGCGCGCACGATGGGGTCTTGGGAGATGGCCTCTCCTTCTTGTATCTTGTTCACGGCGTGGATGTGGGCCATGGCTGGGCTGCTGCAGAGGAGCGCCACAAAGGCGGCGCTTCTGGTCAGGAGATGCATCTCGTCGCTCAATCTCCAGATGATCGTGGTTCGGTATACTCGGAGTAGTGCTCCTTTCAGGCGGCAAAGACCGTCTTCGTGCTGCACAAAGGGTTTCAGAGCCGCATTGGGCGGGGGAAGCTGGGCGTGGTGGTCTCCTGGAGGCATGGCGTCGCAATTTCATGCTTACGTACGTGAACCCGCGACGCCTGCCCCTTGATTGGCTTCCGCCGCGCTCCGGACACGAACCACTCTCCTCCCACCCCATCGTCGAACCACCACATGGCTATTGATAAACGCGTCACAGAGATTGCCGACTCGGACGAGGAGCCAATGACGTCTTCGCCATCCGCTGATCCGTGTGATGCAACGGCCGTGGACAAGCCTCCCGATGCCAATACTGCTGCCGAGAACACAGCTGGCGCCTATGTCCACGGCATGGGCGCGCCACTCGACATCGATGCCACTAACATTCATCGCATTGACATGAAGCCCAAAGACACAGTACCGGCGCAAGAAGGAACAGTACCTGGGCCGAGTCATGACGACGGCAGCACCAGTCACGTGCCAGCTGCACACAACGGCATGGAGCGACGAGCGTCATCCACAGAGGAAGCGCAGTCCAGCACAGTTACAAAAGCTTCGAGTGGCACGTCCGCACAGGATGGTAGTCTTGAATCTGCCCACAATACTACTAGTACAATTGACCCGCAAACCCAGCACAGGCAAGCGCTTGCAAGACAGGACCACGTCATGAGCAACGCGTCGCAAACTAGGTCCAAGGATATTAGCAATGACAGCACAAGACAGAATCCAGAACCTGTTCATCCAAGCGACGACGCAGTTTGTTTTAGACCTACTTGTTATTTCGTTTCCTCGCTCACACAACGTAGGTGCACAAGTCTCGGGCCATGCCAGCAAGCATATCTGATGCGACAAGGACCTTGGCAGCAAGGGCGAACTCCAAATCAACCACTCCAGGCCCTACAGGGTCCGACTCGGTCGTCTTGGGGGATGAGCTAGACACTCCTCCACATCCCAATCTAAGTGAGATTCAGGATCAGGAATCGCAAATGAGTGCCGGTAATTGTGGGGCACAAACTGTCCTCCAGGACACCAGCCCGTTCATACCACAGCCTCGGAACTTACAAGGGGAGACTAATATCCGGAGCTTGTCACCCCAAGAGGACTCACCGCCAGAGGAAACTACAGGTTCTAGTCTCAAAGCGAGCGACGCGGCCCCCAAATCCACTTGCAGGCATCAATCTCCTACAGGAACCTCGCCGACTGTCGCACGCATATGCCCAAAGACGCCTCAAGAGATTACTCTATCAGAACTCAAAGCACAGAAGGCTGCCTTGTTGGAGTCGCTGCGTACTCTCCCGGCCATACAAGTCCTCATAGAAGAACTTGCGTCTTCAGATGCTGGGGCAGATGGCGAAAGCGACGAGCCTACCGAGGCAGACATCATGGCCGCAGCGAACAAGATCGTCAAAGGACATATCAAACTGTTGCATGAATACAACGAACTGAAAGACGTCGGCCAGGGACTGATGGGACTCATTGCTGACCAGCGAGCCGTCCGGATTGTCGAGGTTCAGGCAGAGTTTGGTGTTGACGCGGAAGACTAACTGCATCTAGAATGTGGCTTTCGCGCGATCAGGGACGATTGATAAGCGAGAGTGGCGCAATATGGGGGCAACCCAACCTGAGACAAGCTGGCGGAACACCCACTCCAAGTGTTTCTTGCACGCCTGTTCACTACCCATGTGGCCAATTACCTCAACGCTCAATACTCTAGCCCACCAACTAATTCGTTCCATTCAGCATTGCAGCTCCCATCGGCCGATTCGCCTTCGCCAAGTGAATATTGTTTTTTCTGCCAAAGTCTGGAGTACGTCTCTTGGCTTGCACATCTCGTTCGCAATCTGTCCAGACTGTTGAGGAAGGCAAATAGCCAAACAAATTACGCTTAGGTTTATGTTGTTCCATGGTCCGTGAAAATCTCTCACGGGCGCGCCACGAGCCGCAGGGAAGCACCCATACGCAGCCAGATCTCCGGGTACCGAGGATGTACCGATTGGGCGTAAAGACAACTGGAACACTCCCAGCTACAAGGTAACAACGCCACATTCAGCTGCCCTTGATTTTTTATCAGTCAAGAACGCCTTTGCCTTTCTCCCAACCGTGCACGGGGGCCCCTGGCATGAATGCTTCATCTGACATCTCTCAACAATGTGTAGGCTGGCAACTCGGCCAAGCTCGGCCAGCGGGATAGCGGGATAGCGGATCACCTCTTGCCTGCTCAAGAATTGACGCTCGCTCATACGCTCATGTAGTGCGGGTCTTTCTCGGCTATCTCGATATTCACAGTCAGGGGCCGCTGTGGCGACCACAACTGTACCGGACACGCCAGAGAGGACGATACCATACGTATGGAGGTTAAAGTTGGAGTATCCCACCACCAGGTGTTCCATCCATGTCTCGGCAGTCACTGAGCATCCAGAATCGCTATGGCAGCGCTAAGGCTGTGGCGACTGTCCTGGAACGGCAGCAGCGTCATCAGAGCCAGTCGCCATCGTGCCCGTAAGCCTGCAAAGTTGCACTTAAAGGGGCAGTGCGAGACTCTTCTCTTACTGTAAGAGGGTCGGGCAGTGAGACCACGCTGCATATGTGCCTCAAGAATAATCTTTCCAGTCATGATCGGCAGACCCGCACTGAATGACCTAGGGAAGATCATGTGTCGGAAGTGTTCTGGCGACAATTACATCCCGTGCAACTCTTTCTCCAGGCCTAAGCAACAGAGTTTGGTACGGTGCTCTTGATGTCCAACTAAAGTGAGTAGTGCCCGTCAAGCCGACACTGACATGCGGCTCGTTATCCACTTTAAGGTAGGTCTGCCGTACGAGCTTAACCACAGACCTGCCCTATGTCCCGTCAGGCCGTCCCAAACTCTTAGCGAGCTGTGTTCACATGTGGTGATTGGAGACTAGACGGCTCTGAGCTGAACTAGCTTGCTCACTAGCGCCACAGCTGCACGACGCGTGCCGGCCTGCCAAAAGGTAATCCCATGGCTAGTTGGGTCGCCGGTCATGGTCTTTTCGGCACTTTGTGCACCGGCCGACATGGTATTGTCCCCCTACTGGGATTCGGAACGATATATGGGTATCAGAGAAGCCCCCTGCCCTCTAGGATCCCTTTCACCGAGCTTCTTCCTTCCCCGGATTTTGGCCAGATACGTATAGCAGAATGGCCACTGTGCAGGATTTTCAGCTTGCTGCGCTCGCAGCCGGCTTCACAATTGGTTTCGGCTTCCTGACGGTATGGGAGGCGGTCAAGCAGACACGACGGAACCACAGTCCGTTGCGGTCTGCCTACATCTACATGGTATGGGGTGAAATTCTGGTCAACATCCTCATCGGCATCATTGGGTGGCTCTTTCTCAATGATGTGCTTGGGCCGACGTAAGTAGTATGCTCTCCAATTGCGCGACGAGTCTGCTGACGCATGCCGTCTTAGCGTGCCAGTTCTATTCTTCATCCTGTTCTTCTGGGTCTTCCAGATCCAGCTGCTCATGCAAATCATCATCAACCGTATTGCGCTCATCGCAGAACACCGCAGTACAATCCGGTCTTTGAAATGGGGCACTGTTGTTATCATCACTGCCATAAACATCGCCGTCTTCTGTATATGGATTCCGTCGCACACCAGCCCGCCTTTCAGCGAGACGTTTGTCAAGATCAACAACGTGTGGGATAAGGTTTCCAAGGTCCTCATCCTCATTGTCGATGCAGGACTAAACTGGTACTTCCTCCGAACCGTCAAGATCCGCCTGGTGAATCAGCATGGTTTGACCAAGTATGCGCCGCTTGTAGGCTTCAACGGCAAGCTCATGGTCGTCTCCATCGGCATGGATGCCCTCCTCATCGGCCTCATGTTCCTCCACAACCAAGTTGTCTACATCCAGTTCCACCCCGTTGTCTACATGGTCAAGCTCAACATTGAAATGTCCATGGCCTCTCTCGTCGTCCGCCTCGCCCAGGGCAAACCCCAAAACGACATGCACCTCGAAGAATTCAACAGCTCCACCGACCCCGAATCTAACAGACGCTCCGCTACTGGCCCCCAATCCCTGCATCTCACAAACCGCTCCAAGCGCGGTGGCACAAACCTGCGCAGCCCCGGTCTGAGCAAAATCGACAGCGACGAGAGCCTCGACCTCGGCGGCATCCAATGCCGGACTGAACTGCGCATCACACACGAGGATAGGAAGGATATCAGCGAGCGGAGGGACTTTGCAGAAAACAGCTCGCGAAGTAGCAACGAGGCGCCGGCGTCGAGCGTATTCGGAGACGAGACCCCGTTGCACAAGCAGGGGTTTAGGACCCAGGAAAAGGGCTCGTCATGAATGATAGTTTTTTTTATATAGATCTCTGTTCTGTAGCCAGTTTATACTTGTAGTAACGATACCCGTAAGAAAATGAATAGAAAGTTTAATAAAGCATGAAACCACCATTATACTTGTGTCGTTATCGTGACATCAATTCAACGGCAAACGTGAAATAAGGGATATCTGATTTACTGTATCGCATGGTGTGTTTTCAAGGCCATTGCTTCTGCTAGTTGACCTTCAAAAGAGTTATTACCAGCTAATCGTACGACAAAGACGAAATGCAGGGAATAACGGGTTGTGATGCATATTCCCTTGTCCTCTTTCTTTCGTTCACTCTCTGTACCCTATTATTATTATTATTATTATTCCATTAGAGTCTATCTGCAGTCAGTGACTATGTAAGACTTTGGCC